TGTTTTACTTATTACTGTTTTACTGTCTTACTGATACCCTCACTTTGCTTATCATAGCATTTTGACATTGTACATGAGCTGTGAAAACATGCTGTTTTTAATGAATGTCAAAGTACTGAAAAGTAAACCTAAAATATGCTTCCGCGCGGCGCTGCGTGGTGCAATTAAGCAATTAACATCACATCATGTTCTGTGAACTGTATGGAATTTTTAGCAACACTGTTCAGATTTTTGGCTTCAGGTGTTCTCTTGATTAAAAACACCTTGAATACTGAAATATATTTTAATTACTGCTGTCAATCAATAAAGATGTATTAAATTCACCACACTTTTGAAATATAATTGTGGTTAGCCCAAGGTTTATGTTGAAATTCACTTTTTGTAATTTAAACAATTTTTGCATATTTTAAAAGAAAATTACCTTATTGAATTATCTCACAAACCTAAATGAATACTATAAAAGCCCAACGGGCTATAATTTAAAGCATCCTTATCCCCTTAAATTCTAACCCATTTATATGACTTTTTTCTGTCAGGCTAAAGCTGGCACATTATCAGACAGCAGTAATGTAGACAGCTCGAGAAGTGATGAAGTGTGAGAATACAACAGGGGTGGGTTGGCCAGTCAAATTACAGGTAGTAGCTTTAAGTCTAGACATTGTGTACACAATAGTTTTAGCTAAGGCCCATCAGTGTCATAATCTGCTACAGTTAGCCTTGCTCTGTAACACTACAACACCAGCCGTCTATGACACTTTGGTGAAATGTTTGTCTCATTTTGTTTTGGCGCTCACATGTGACCTTTGATTTCCTCGGGGTGTCATTGGTTTGATCTGTCGATTTGTGATGCTCTGGAATAAAGTCTAAAGTAAAATGTTCATGTATACAACACTTTTCCCTGAGTACCCACTCAGCTGATCACTGACAGCTAGCATTTGAGTTTTTGTCCTGATCACTAGTCAAGAGTTTGAACATGTCTTCTCTTAAAATTGAAAAAGAAGTTATGTCTATTCTTTTGACTGCTACTACTCTTTTGACTGTTTTCATGTTTTTAGAATCTGTATTTTAAAAAAGTACAAAAATACAGGAAGTAGCAGTGAGTTCTAAAACTGAAAACCTAAGTCATCAACTGTCACCAATTTACAAGCAAGGAAGACAACATTGATTTGACAAATAAAGTGTTGTAATCTTTTTTATTAGTCTAATCATAAATATTGTGCATTCAGGCAAGTTTTGGCCTTTGATTACAATATAACAGAACTGGAATTAACTATACGTACGACACGTCTGCTCCCTGTATCCAACCAGCAGATAAAATTCAAAAACAAGGCAAGATTTTTTTTTTGTAAAATCATACATATTGTAACTTAATTTTACTAAATGTTAAAATGTCTAGTCTAGTTGTGTTCCTTGAATGCAAAATATAAAAAACAAAACAACAAGTATTAGATTACTTTCTGACTTTGAGGGGACGATCATTTTTCTGCCTACCAACAGGATTGTGGCTATGTTGCATCATCCAACGCGTGCTTCCATTTTACCTTTGTGGCCTCTCCATGAAGAATATTCAACGGCCTTATTTTTGAAATTCACCAAGCAAAGACAGACACACGTTTCATGTTCATTTTTTATTATTATTTTACGATTACCAGATGAGCAGATACATCATTTTAGAAAAGAAACTGATATTTGCAAAAAATTATAATACAATTTTCTCAATATAGACTATTTACAAAATGAAATGTAGTACAACTTGAAATAGCATTCTGCGTCTGTCATCAAGAAGACAACGCAATGTGGGGTTAGATCAAAACTTCACAGACCAAAACCCCCAACCAATAAATATAAACCGTATATATTATGCACGCTGTACTCAACCAGGCATGGACAATATACCAGGGCAAGTTAGAGCTCCACAATATTCCCTTATAACCACACTGCAGAAACAAAGATCTACGTGAGTGGAGATGACTCAAACTCAGAATTTCTATCTTTATTTTAGAAGTTATGACAAGTTTAGATCTGTACTTACTCAAAACAAACCTTGTATGAAGTAATATTTCGGTCCCACTACACATTAACTATTGTTAATAAAGCATAATAATCAAATCAAAAGTGTATTAAAATTATTCAGGCTTAGTAACTACTTAATTAAGATGGTAAGGTTAAGAGTTAGGGCTAGAGGAGTAATTAAGCAGTTAGTGAGACTGATTCATTTTTAGTCGACTAGTTGTTCATTATGAGTTAAGTCTTTAACAGTGTGCTATATAACTTCACGGTTAGGGGTCTGTCATCTGCGTGTTTCTGGAATGTTCCACAGTATGACATTAAACAGCTTTACCTTACATTTATTAAATTACAGGTGGTTATATAGCTCAAAAAGAACAATAAAATATATATTCTGACTGCAAGCAGGGTTGCCTCTCTAGAGATCTGACCTGTACCATGGTCTGGTTTGGAGTCACTGAAGATAGAAAAGTTTAAAACCAAGTATATTTCTCTTTCTTTGTGGTTAATTTTAGAGTGCCTTCACGTTTGGTCAATTCTTGAATCTCAACCATATTTGTTCTAGCACATTTCTGAGAGATTGTTAATATTTTCATTTAAAAATCAAGATATACATTTTTGTTAGTTTTGCCCAACTGTATTCTAATAGGTTTGGCTCTTTCCTTTTGTTAGTTTTTTCTTATTTTAAATTGTACATTTTCTAAAATTATTAATTATGTTCAGAAACCACCCATGATGCCTAATGATATGGTGGATAAAATGTTCAATCTAAACAAGTCAAACTCATCAAGATACTTTCTGAATCTGAGTCACTTTAACTAATGTAGATTGTGCGGTTCACACACATTCACACAAGAAGCTCAAATTGGACACACGATAGCGCACAGGCCGTAGAACAAACAAACTACAGATGGGTTACAGCTTATCTCATGGAAGGTAAGAAAAAGAGCAAAAAGAAAAGTGTATGGAAAAATACCCGTCATTGTCCTTGTTCAGGAAAAGAGAAAGTTGAAGTAGTGCTCTGGTCACCCAAGCTGGCTGAGTAGCACTTGACATTTTGGCCCGATTCAAACAGCCAATTCTCCAAAAAGCTACCGGACTGGAAAATCTCTACAACACCCTTTCTCAGATCCTGCCTCCTCATCCATCCCTCCCCGTTCTCTCATTCACCCTATCAGTAGTCTACCTTTCCTCTCCCTTTATCTCAAGTGGGAGACGCGCCAAGTGTGCCCCCTCTCCCCTTAGTTTTTTGTCTGAAGAGCGAAAATGAAATCAACTAAAACGCGCCACGAAAGCTCCAATCCACGCTGCATAGAAACGGACGGACGGACCACGGCACAATCACGGAACAAGAACGCGATAAGACGACAAGCAAAGTAAAACCGATGGATGGGGCGGGCAAGGAGGGGGTGAGGACTTGAAGGACACTACAAAGCACACTCCGCTAGCCAGCCACTTTACCTTGTCGCCGGGCACCACCTTTGAAAAAAAAAAAAAAAAAACACACCCAAAAAAAAAAAGATCACCCATTTCGCGTAAGGTGGGAGGGAGAGAATTATGACTTTGTGCAGATGAGCGAATACACGCACTTGCATAAATCATCCATCTTGTTTGGCTGTTAATTACTCTTGTTTACCCTCGGAGTAACCTCGGGATGGGGCGCCGTGATAGGAGCGCGCCTGGCAAGGGGAGATAGCACCAAATAGTAATCTGCTGACGCCGTTCATCAGTGGGCAATACGCAGGAGTTGGAAAAAAAAACAACCGCATAGCTAGCATGAACCTGGGCATTGTGAATTAGGCGGGGGTGCCCAGGGTCCGAGGACAGCATCTCCATCAACAGCTTTCCGCGCTCGCTAAGTCGTTCTGGGGTCAGACGGTTGAAGGAGGTAGCCCTTCACACGGAGGCCGACGGGGGGAAACTCCTCTGGATGTACGGCAAGCTCGGATCGTTGCTTATTTCATTACGGGGAAAGCTACATAAATCCACAAAATGGAGAGGAAGAGGCACGCGGGGAGTATTTGCATTTTCTCCTACCTCCGAACGCCCCTCTTCCCTCCTCCCGTTTGCCACATCACCCCTTTCAATCCCTCCCCCGTTTAGTGCGGAGTGACTTTAATCATCACATTCGCCAAAACACATTAAGCCGGTGTGTCCGATGTTGGAGAGAGGGAAGGAGAGAAGGAGAGATGGAGAGAGAGAGGGGGGGGGCTGAAAAAACACATTAGATTTGCAACAGTGATGCATCACTCTGGCGTTACTTTGGAGATTAAAGAAGGGATGTCGCATTTCAATGGAGTGGTGTTGATGGTCGCTTGATAGATGACCGTCCCTGTGTTTTTAACCCTACACCGGACAGCACCAGGAGAGAAAGTCAGGCTAACCTCCATATCCCCTCTCATCACTTTCACCCCAACCACTAATTCTCCCTCTTTTAAAATCCCGTTTTTTTACCTAAACCTCAAAGCTTCCTCTTCCTTTTAACCCCCAAAAGAGCGCACCTCTACATCGAAATATATTTATGCAGCTGTTTGATCATGTTCTCGTGTCAAAAACAACGCCTCCTTTGTGGGTGGAGATAATACTTAAAAGTGGATTGCATACATTAAACTTAAGCCAACACACAACGTGAATCTGCGTGGTCTTTGTGTGACTATATCAGAATGAAAGCATGGATGTAAAGTGCTTGAGAGCTTAGGACGGGCAGGAGGAGATAGAGAGAAATGAAAATAAAAACTAAAAAGGCATAGAGAGGAGGGCATTACCACAGGGCTCAGAACGGGCAGGTTCAATATGCAGACACAGAGCTTCATAATAAAATGGGCGGGCATAAAGAAAGAGGGTTAGGTACTCCCTAGTTAACAAAATGACAATATGAATTTGTTCCACAGAATCACAGTCAGTTAGAAGGGTTCAGCCCACCAGCAGACTCGCCCAGATGGTGAGCTTTGCCGGCAAAATGTATCACAATATGAAAAGCTCCAGGTCCGGTTTCACCCTGGGACCCAGCTCTGGTTACTGTGCATTGAGGGTGGGCACGCAAATGCCCCCAAACTCATGCCCATCCCCATTCCAACACCCTGCGACAGAGAACCGTCAAAGTTAAAGTCCATGTTTTCACTGTCCATAAAGTCACTGAGCAAAATGGAGTCCACGTCACAGTCCAGGCTGTTGGGAACGTTCTCCATCTCCAGGTTGGCTGTCATTCGGCTGTGGGAATTGTGTTGTTGTTGCCCTGGGTAACCATTGTTCCCCGACTGGTGGCTGTTGTGATAGTAACCGTGCCAGGAGTCAGTGAGTCCCTGATGGTACGACTGGTGCCGTGGATGAGGGGCAGATGCCAGGCGACAGGGATCCTGGGGGACATCCAGAACTCCGGCTGGATTGGGCGGCAGGCTGGGTGAGGTGGCGAGGTGCGGCCGGGGAGCATAGTGGTTCGAGGACTTGAGGCTGTAGGGCTGCAGGATGTCAGAGCTCACCCGTGGGGAGAGAGCCTGGGGGTGCGGCCCGTTGTGCACAGGGGTGAGGGGGTTGTGTGTGGCATGATTGTGCATGTGGCTCGGGACAGACCTCGAGTTGTGGTCATGGTTGGAACTGACTTTACCATGCTCTTGACCCGGGATGTACTCGTGGGCAGGGTGGGGTTTGTGGCTGTAGTCGAGGCTGGCTTTGTGACCCTGATTATGGCTCTGGTCGTGAGAGCTGTGGCCATTGTGCAGACTGCTAGCACCATCTTGATTGTGACCGCGACTCTGATTGTGTTGCCTATGAACCCCATTCACCCCCTGTGTCATTAGACTGTCCTTGCAATATGCAGAGCTCGTGAGAAGACTTTGCAGTGCATTGTTTTCCGAGTAACCCCTCATTTGACTCTGGAAACTCGCAGGTTTATTCTCCTTGGATGGTCTCCATGGGCGCGTGGTGTCGGAGCATCCCCATAGAGCCCTGATTGTACATGGGCCCGCAGTAGGAACCTTCTGCTTTAGGCCCAGGCACGTAAGGATAGCCGTTGCATTTCATTTGCGACTGTGCGTAGCTGCTCTCATCTAAATTAATAGCCCCGGTTAGGTCTGTCAGTTGGGGCAGTTCCACGTTGGGACAGTGCCCACCAGTGCCTAGAGCTGGCGAGCGCGTGCTGGTAGGACTCGGGTACAGCCTTGGAGATGCCGAACAAGACAGCCCGCCTTCTTCCGGTTCATCGGCCTCTGCTTCAGCCAAAATTGGGGACAGGCAGCTGCTGAGAGTGGAAGCAGAAGAGGAGGTCCGGGAATGAAGGTCTGTCCAGGTATCATACTCCTCCCCCACCATGCCCACTGCTCCCTTCCCCGCTGGGCTTCCATGCTCCGGAGACCCCTGCATCGCCGGTCCACCTCCTCCGTGAATAGGGACCCGACCGAGGCCAAGGGCGCCAGCTCTTTTCCGGCTGATTCGACCTTTCGTTTTCAGGTAGCGGGCGCCGTTGTCCATAGAAGCGGCTCGTCTCCTGGGACCCTTCCCCATCTTGCCTCCTTCTGGGTTCAGCATCCACCAGGAGCTCTTCCCCGTGCCTTCATTTTGAACCCGGATAAAGCGGCTGTGCAGGGATAGGTTGTGTCGGATAGAGTTCTGTGGCAAAAAAAGAAAGAGGAGAAACAAAAGAACATTAGTGCCTGAGGGAACATTTATCATTGAATTACTTGAGAATACTAAAAGTTAATTTATTTCATCTCCAAAAGAAACGGTAAATTGGATGTGCAAAAAGTAGGATCTTCACAAATGACAAGTGATCTGATATGTTTGAGCAAAGAAAGTTTTTGTCAATTCTATAAAAGAGTCATCTTGAAAAAAGATGTGCAGAAACCGAGATCCTGATTAGAAATGAGGAGAAAAAATTACAGTGATTCTGATACTGTCACTACCTTGACCTGAAATCTACAGTGTTCAAAAGCATTACTACCTTGATCATTCAAATCAAAGGAGCACTACTGATTTCTCCTAGTCAATGTGCCATGTCCTGCAGTGTGAAATGTATGACTGGTTTTCCACAAATTAAATCTAAGTTAATGGACCGACTTAAATGCTGTTATATTTATTACTGTAAAAAAAGCAAAAAAAAGACCAGAAAATCCAATATATAATTTTTAATATAAGCATTCCTTTATGGTTGCATCCATACACCACATCACAATTGGTTTAATTGGTTCTAGAACAAAACCTGGACTAAACAAGTACTAGAACAGGACCAAAACAAAGGTTATGTTTACACTGAAACGAATCACCATATCACCTTATCAGAAACGATTTGTGTGCCTGAAACGCTAGTCACATGACTAGGCTGGTGTCACGCTGTCATGACGTCATTTGGGTGGTAAAAAGAAGGAAGTGGAGCACCGTGTCTGAAGTTGCAGCGGCCAATTTCTAGCCAAGGAATATGGCAAGTGTGAAAGTACTAAGTAGTTCTAGCTACGCTGTTTCCCATTTGTATATGGCTTGTTTAAACAGTTTTCCACAATAGTGTCACATCACCAATGTCACGAACTCAGAGAATCAGGAAGGCGCAAGTCACAGTGACCAATAAGGACGGCAATTAGAGCTACTATGTCAGCGTATCAGTGTTTTCAGGCATCCACACAGTGCCGGATCAGATCTGTACTCAAATGAATTTGTGGGACCTGGCGGCATCAGATCGTTTCATCTCTGGAGCCTTTTTCAAACAGATTAGTGTGGACGAACACTGAATCTGCAGCGAAAACAACTCGAATACATACTAGTGAGGATGGGGCCAAAGTCTAAATCAGGGATAAACTAATATAAACTTGGGACCAAATCAAGTGTGAACACAAGATATTAAAATGTGCCAGATAAATTGCAATTTGATTTCTCAAGAAAATATGATTTGGGTCATACTGATCTCTCTAAACCCAAAACAGATGTATTACAAAAGCGTAATTTTGACTACATAAATATATCTGTGGTATTTGTTAAATTCTTTGTTAAATTAAGTTTAAAAACCAAGAGGGAGTCAACTCACTTCATATTATACTTGTCAGTCACTGTATCATTGTATGTAATTTTCTAAACATTAACAACAATAATACAATTTATTTGTACTGTTCTTTTCTAAGCACTCACAAATGCTGCACAAATAGTAAGTTACGGTTAGAGGTAATATATTATGCAAAGTTGATCAAAAACATACCCAAAGTTGTGGTTTGTTTCATTCACACGTTCTACATTTCCAAAGCTCAAAATACTCTGTTCCACCTTGTGATGTCATGAAGTGGTAGTTTTCAAGAGAGCTACCTTTTACCTTTTGTTCAGTAGAGACAGTAAACTAAAATTATCCAAATGATTCTAAAGGTGTATGATGTTTAGAAACACACGGTCACTTCCTGTATTACCACATGACATCACAAGGGGGAACTGAATGTTTTTTTGTTTGAGGGAATAACTCATAACGCTTAAATATGTCACATTTGTGCGTTAATCGTGTGAATGAAACAAAACACAACTCCAGGTTTGTTTTTAATGAGAAAACAAGAACACATAATAACAAAAATCACAAAGTAGAGTAATATGGGTCCTTTAAAAAAACAAAGCCAGCAGAGAAAATATAACCCTTCATGAACATTACCAAAATCCATCTTGCCCTTCAAATGAATGAGCTGACAAGCAGGGGTGAGTGCGCATTAGCGAGTATAAAAGATATCTTAAAAAACGAGATGAACTACGCAGGCCAAAAAGGAGAGAGGGCAGGTGGAGTGAAGGAGCCAATCGATAGCTCCTCCTGACCAAACCTCTCCTCTCCACACGCTCACCACTGACTCATATTACCAACATGCGTACAGCCTCCACATCAAACCATCACCAAGGTTACCGAAATGAATCACGCGCCGCAACCCAATCACAGACGGCCAGTATCGATTGCAAAGGCCCCTCCAAATATGAGCGATCTTAGCCAGAGACCGGGGAAGAAAGGATGGAGAGAGTAGGAGGGGGGGAAAGAGGAGAGGGAGGTGAATTTTTTGGCTAGAAGATCTGGATCGGTACCAAAAAGACAGAGAGGAAGTGAATGGGTGGTTAGGCAGAGACATGCTTATTTAACCTCTTTGAAAATCCTTGGCGTAATTAACATGGCTGTGAGCGATTTCTCAACGCCATGATGAAGTCTTCCTATATTTGAGGGTTGAAAATCTAATGACATTTCAGTACTTAGCAGGAGAGGGACAGGAAATGTGCACTCAAATTGTGACTGCCATACAAGCCAAATCCTTACAAAACAACTTTGGAAAACAAGTAAATTCTAATTCTACCATGTTGTAGCCTATTATAACCTGTTGATTCTGAAAAATTCTATGTACAGACTAGGCGGTAATGCTTTAAAGTAACTACCCTTTAATTAGCCATAATAAATCATGAGCAGTTCATTTTTTTAGATTCAGGATAACGATTAATAATGACTTGATTAATACCGCAGCTCCTAACCCTTTGTTCAAGTAATTTAAAGGTGCACTGTGTCACTTTTTGAAGGAAGGTCAGACATGCTTGTCTCCATGGTGATGCTATGGCATTGCATGTAATGTTCAACACTAAGGCATTAAACATATATCCAGCATTTTTTTCGCTTTACCAGTGTTGGTCAAAAATACATTGAAAACATGCATTGTCACTCTCTCCACAGATCTGACCAATAATAACTTGCCTTGCTGGCACCAACCACTTATCTCTATGGAGATGCTATGTTTTAATGCTGTACTGTGGAGAATTTTGGGCAAAGCGATAATATCTTTATGGAGACAAACAGGTGGCGAAAAGTTACACAGCAGCTTTAAAGCTGAATCATCAACTGTTGATGGTGAATTAAGTAGTTTTTTTTAAACTAATTAAAGAATAATCATTATTAAGTTGTAAATAAATGGAAAATAGTCACATTTATAAAGTGTTTTTCTACCTTCAAGTCACCCAAAACACTTTTAGGATTCCCATAGTTGCTTGAAATCATTTTCCAGGACTTCTCCAGGACTTTTCCAGGACGTTGAATTATGTAATGATGGCGTCTACAAATAGATTACTCCCTTTTTTCAATATATATTTTCATTATATTGTAGTATGATTGCATTGTATATTTACACATAAAAAGATACAGAAAGATGGAGAAGGGTTTGAAAAGTTCCCTCCCTAGAAATTTTCTACAAAAGAAGTGTAATTTCTTAGCCAGGCTGGCACCACCTAGTGCCTCTGCTCAATTTAATTTCTCTCCAGCGACTAGGTCAGGAATCGGAATACACTAGACGGTTTGAAAGAACCCCAGAAGTGCGAGTTGGGGCACCAGCCAATCAGCGAAGAGCCATATATTCTGTGTTGGCAACGATTCCCGAGACCGAGGATTTAAAGCTGGAACAAAGAGAATGTTTCGTGAATTTTATCAAGGAGAAAGATGTTATTGTCCTTCTTCCTAGGGGATTTGGGAAAAGTTTAATATACCAGTTAACCCCCTCAGCAGCGCATTACAAACATCATGACCAAATAGCACCGATTGGTTAAATGAAAAAAGTACCTGCCTACCGTCAAGCGAACTAATCCTAATGCTGAGAGGTCAGACGGTTTCCACCAAGTGAAACCAGCTGATGAATGAGGCTAGTAATTTCTTGCATTTTAGTGGGTTTTACCGGAGGTTTTAAAAATCTGTACTGCTCCTTTTTACAGTGATGGCAGTAATAGTCTTTCTTACTTATCCAATAACACAGTTAAGAGAGGAGACATTTTCAAGGTCAAAATATATATTTTCCAGGACATTTGGCCCTTTTTCTCATTTTCCATGCATTTGCAATGTCTGTAAAACCAATTATTTACCAGGACTCTAACTTGTTGGATTGCCTTGTGTCTTGCCCAACGACACAACAACATTCATCTGTGGGAGCTGGAATTGCACTGCACCTGTTGTTCAGTGGACCTGACCCCTCTACCATTGCACCAAAATTGCTTCTACCACCATTAACTCTTAAATTACTGCAGCAACTAAGGTTCAAAAATGTTATCAACTGGGCAAGGTTTTTTTCTGACAAGACATTTCAATTTCCATCAGATACCTTTATCAATTCTGCAGCAAACTGACCCGAATAAAGACAAAGCTCTAAATTCTCCCCAAATCTTAACTTGCACCTTTCAGATTCTCAACCCAAAATTTCTTTAAGTGCAGTAAGTGGGAGTCTGTGGCGGAATAAGCCTCTCCAGACCTCCATTTAAGTGTCTGAGTGACGGCTGTATAGTTAATCCAGAAGCAGTAGACGCGATTGAAGCCAGTGCCAACCTGGAGAGAGTTGATGAGATCTAAACCTGCCTAAAGGAAGAGCTTAGCGGGGATACACATCATCTCAGCTGGCCAAGTGAGTTTAAGCACAGCGCGTTCGTCCAAGTCTTTCTGCCTCGTGTCATTATTCACACCCCCTCCTCCAGACCGAGCTCCTATTCAACGCGAGTTCACAGAATTTTACCTTTTCAGAGCTGTATTTTCTAAGTCTTTTTTCAAACCGGTGCGAAATTGAAAGTGTAGCGTGGAGCAAATCTTTATTTAATGTGGCTGTTATGTGAACGTTTTGTCGGGGAAGGTAGGAGTGGTGGATGGA